CCCCCACACCTTTCCCCTTTGTTAGCCACATCATAGAGTTTTTCTAAGGATGAAGTGAATGGATGCATAGAAAGGGCTTAGAAGGGCACCTGGTATGGAGAAGACACTTAGTAAGTCTTAGCTTCTCTCCTCTTCTTCCCTCTCTTGCCCCCCACCAGCCCCTCACCACACTCTCCTCCTTTCAGCTCATTTTAGCTGAAGGAGCTTTACACCTACTCTTCCTAACACCTGGAAATTTCCTTTCTCCATTCTCACATGATTCATTCCTATTTATTCTTCAGTCTCTGCTTAACTGTCACTTCCCAGATCCAGGGGGCGGAGTGGTGAAGGCAGGGACATTATCCGCTGCATCATTCTCAATGCCCAGCCTAAGCTTGGAACAGCACTCTACAGTGTGTCTGCTAACAGCAGACAGCTAGGGTGTCCAAGTGTTCTAGCCCTTAACCAACATCAGGTGCAGTCTTTTGGCCACGCCATGCGGGGATCTTAGCTCCCCAACTAGGGATTGAACCTGTGCCCCCTGCAGTGGAAGGTGAAGTCTTAACCACTGGACCACCAGGGAAGTCCCCGTCAGGAGCGGTTTTGAAGCTGTTGTTTGGAGAGGCAGTTTTGAAGCCTGTCCCCCCACTAACGGCGCTACCTAGCACTCGCCTGCTGTTGGCACTTGAGTCCAGCTCCCTTCCCCTTCAAAAAGGCCATTTTACCCCTAAGCTGAGATTTCCCTTTTCCAAGTTGCCTTTATACAGTGAAATTTTTGAATGAATAAAATTAAAATGTTGATTTCATTTAAGAAGTTCATTTTTAGTAGCAACATCATTCCTGTCTTGTTTTTAGGTGCCCTTTTTTGTGATTCTTCTCTCTCCTTTTGCTCTCTTTTTATTTAAATAACTTTTATTGCTTTCTTTTTCTCTTTGCAAGAGGAATACATGTCACTCTAGAAAATTCCTCACTACTGATTTGTTATGTTGTACTTACACTTTCCCTGTAAGTGATCTAAAACTTTTGGGGAACAAGTTAGAGATAGAAATACATCACTATGAAGAAATAATAAAGCAAAAGAGGTGTGAGTTACCTACTTAAACATTTATCTGTTATCAAAATTGCATTTCCTGGGCTTCCCTGGTGGCGCAGTGGTTGAGAGTCTGCCTGCCGATGCAGGGGACACGGGTTCGTGCCCCGGTCCAGGAAGATCCCACATGCCGCGGAGCGGCTGGGCCCGTGGGCCATGGCTGCTGAGTCTGCGCGTCCAGAGCCTGTACTCCGAAAGGGGGGGGCCAAAAAAGGGAGGGGCCCGGGTAACCGAAAAAAAAAAAAAAAAAAAAAAATTGCATTTCCTTATTTATTTGGCGTGCACGGTGAGGATATAAAGTTGTTTTGGCGGCTGGCATAAGCTGTGGGGAACTACGCAGCAGGCCTGCTATTTTTACTTTTTATTTTTTATGTGTTGTATTTCTTTCTTTTAAAATTAATTAATTAAGTTTTTGGCTGTGTTGGGTCTTCATTGCTGTGCTCAGGCTTTCTCTAGTTGCGGCGAGTGGCGGCTACTCTTCATTGTGGTGCATGGGCTTCTCATTGCCGTGGCTTCTCTTGTTGCGGAGCATGGGCTTCTAGGCACACGAGCTTCAGTAGTTGTGGCACACTGGCTCAGTACTTGTGGCTCTTGGACTCTAGAGAGTAGGCTCAGTAGTTGCAGCACACAGGCTTAGTTGCTCCACAGCATGTGGGATCTTCCTGGACCAGGGTTCGAACCCACGTCCCCTGCATTGGCAGGCGGACCAGGGAAGTCCTCTACTTTTTACAGGGCAACGTGAGCCTTTAAGGAAGTGAGTAGATTGCTCTCTTTGTGTTGATATCTTTTACAGATTTTGCACAAGTAAATATAATTTTCCTCAAATAGAAACCCTGACAACTAACAGCAACAATAAAAAGAATTCCAGCTATAAGTGGAAATTTTAAAAATAATAATTTGGAGGGGAACTAATCATGGAGCCGAAGGGAATAGTATTGAATACATGAAGGTTTATGTGACTGGAGGATAAACTTGCTGGTCTGTTCTAATGACCAAATGAATTCTTGACATCCTTAGCTCTACCCTGCCCTTTGGGAGGCCAACAGAGCTTTCCAGCTCATAGTTATAATGCTTCTTACTTGGAAAGAGGACAGCAGAGACCCTAAACTAGTCCCCAAATCTAAACTAGTCCCTAATGAGCCGTGGAGAAATGTGAGGCTGATTTTACCAAATACACATGGATTAGGGCTTTTGTATTTCATTAAAAATGAACCCTAGCTAAGAATTCGTTGTTTGTACCAACAGCTCTTATCCTCAGATATTACGACTCCCAATGACTGTTTAAAAAATGTTATTGTGTCACTTCTTAGATTGCACTTCCTGGCTTTGAAACAATGCTGAATTTGCAGTCATCCTCAAAAGCCCAAATTATATGCTTTGTTCCTCATATTGACAAAGGAATTTGGATCTTCATTTGAACACCTTGATCTACTATGAGAGGTGAAGGAGAGTGCTCTAAGACTTGACACACTCTAAGAAACGTATTTTCTATATTGATTTTTTTTTGGTAAAGTAAGAGATACAATTGATGCAAGTGAGCATCTGAGTTTAAAAACAGATGATATTATGATTGTTAAAATAATAGTAATTAGCATATATTTTTCTCTCTTGAATGTAATTTATCAGAATGATTCCTTTCTCTGTCTGCCTTACTTCATTAAGTATGATAATCTCTAGGTCCATCCATGTTGCTGCAAGTGGCATTATTTTTTTCTTTTTTTTATAAATTATTTTTTATGGCTGAGTAATATTCCATTGTCATATGATATCACTTATGTGTGGAATCTAATTTTAAAAACAACACAAATGAACTTATTTACAAAACAGAAACAGACTCACAGATCTCAAAATCAAACTTATGGTTACCAAAGGGGAAACGTAGGGGGAAGGGATAAATTATGAAATTGGGATTAACAGATACACACTACTGTATATAAAATAGATAACTAACAAGGACCTACTGAGCCCAGGGACCTACTAGAGCACAGGGAACTCTACTCAATATTCTGTAATAATCTATATGGGAAAAGAATCTGAAAAGGAATGAAAAAAAAAAAAAAAAATATATATATATATATATATATATATATATATATATATATATAAAACTGAATCACTTTGCTGTACACCTGAATTGACAAAACATTATAAATCAACTATATTCCAGTTAAAAAAAAAAGATTCCTACTCATGCCACTGTGACATCTAAGTTTGATAAGGAAGTTTCTAAGGGTTATGGTTCCTAACATTTATTTATGAATGATTCATACCAGAAGCAAATAATATCTCATCAAGAATTTATTTTTTACTTGATAAATATACTCAATTCACACTTAAAATTTAAAAATAATTAATTGTATAGAAAGAAAACTGAGGTTTGTCCTTTAAACAACTCCTACTTATAGTAAGCAAGCCTTTTATTAGTCATTAATCATAATAACTTATTTGTTTTAAAATGTTTTCACTTCAGCTCAGTACATCTCAGCAACTTTTATTGACTTTGTGTCTTTAACCTTTAGAGCTATTCCATCTAATGACTCCCTTTAAATTTTGTCTTATCAAGTAATGTGGCAGCTCAGCACATTTGCTGAGTAAGCTTTGTCAAGACCTGAGAAATTCCTTAGCAATGAAAACGGTGCTTAAGTGTTCAAATATTTGGAAAATAATGTGCTAGTCCTTTCATGTAGAAAAATCATACCATCAACAGTTAGTAAGTTCTGCGATTTGAGCTTCCTTCATAACCCCAACCTCAACACCCATGTGTATACAGAGAGCCACACACATTCCCTTTCTCTCTCTCTCTCCCTCTTTCTCTCTCTCTCTGTCTCTCTGTCTCTCTCTCTCTGTCTCACACACACACACACACACTCACTCACTTTATGATGTTAATGAGGAAATGCCCTACTCATTCAGATGCCTGACATGTTGACCAGCCACAGCTTCATGGTCACAAATGAGATACTTTAGTCTAACCCATCGCACTGACGAGTTCAAAAACTCCGGGGGAAAGAACAGCTTAAGAATCTTGGATACAGAATGTTATCCTTCACTAAGGCTCTCTCGTGCTCTCTCATGATCATGCTCAAAAGACCCTCTTAGCACCAGACTCTAAGCTTGGCGATCTGGGTTGTAGTGATCTCTGTGGGCGTCTAATAAAATAAGATTGGACCATTGAACTTTTGATTCATTTGATTTTATGATATGTATCTGTTTTATAATTAGCATGTGATGTATTGCCTCTAGAAAGTGCTAGCAGCCATAAAGTTAAGGGATTGTCAATTGGGGTCAAACAAGTCTGGGCGTGAATTCCAGCTCTGCCCATTCCTAACTGTGTATTTGAATTTAGGCATCATTTCACCTCTTGTACTCCAGTTTCCATATTTATCGAATGGGATAGTAATCCCTATCTCTCACCTTTTTATCTGAGGATTAAATGAGATAATGTGTGAAAGTGCTTACTTAGCTCAGTAACCAGTAATGGCTATTATTCTGAAATGGTAAAAATGACTTGGGATCCATACCCAGGGAAATACAAAGACACAAAGAGCCTTCTCTGCCTCTGTTTTTTTTGCACTGTGCTACTCATTGCTATCTTGAAATTCCATGTGTGAAACAGACCTCAAATAAGAGAACACTTAAATTTCATTTTTAAATTTAAATAAAAATTTAAATATCTCACTTTAAATAAAAATTTAAAAATCACAGTTAAATAAAAATTTAATTTAAATAACAATTAAAATTTAATTTAAATAACAATTAAAATTTTACATTTTAATTTAAATAACAATTAAAATTTAAGTAAAATTGAAAGAAAAGTTAAATTCTAAATAAAAATTTAAAATTTAAATAAAAATTTAAATAAAATTAGAAGAAAAGTTAAATTCTAAATAAAAATTTGAAGTTAAAATGTAAATAAATCAACTTATTGCAGGTAACGAAGACAGGCACATCCACACGACCAGTTTGCAGCAAATAAAAACTGTGACGGATGAATTGAGGCAAAATGAAAACCTGACACCTTCGCAGCCAGCCGGGAGGACCCGGCTGTCATGGCTACCAGGAGCCACAACAGAGGGCTCGACTCCTCAGCTGGAGGGACCCCAAGAGCCCACCTTCAAACGGGGAATCCTGAGAATGATGTCGCAGCAGGATGTGCGCGCTGAGATCTTCCTCTGGAGCTTTCTGCTGTGGTCGGACACCATAGAAATGGTGCGGGTGGCCGGGCACCCCAAAGTGTACACGTCAGGCTGGGTCTACCCCGTCTACATCTTCAGTTTCATTTCTCTTCTTCGAATGATACTGACTCCCCGGAACCCGCTTCTGAATTCCCTGGGCATCGTGCTCCAGGATCTACCCTTTATCTTTGTTAGACTTAGTTTAATCATTGGCCTGGGAACGATCACACCCGTCTTGGGCCTTTGTAAAAATGTACTCGTGACTCTCTCTTATGTTTACTTCAATTACTTAACCAAATTCAGGATTTTCTCTCCCTTTGAGGTATCTTTTTAACAAGGAAATGTCCCATAGTCAAACCTCTTTGTTATGCACATGCACGCATTTATAATCTTTTTGGGGGGCAGGGATAAATTTTTGTGCTATAGGAAGAAATGAAGAATAGATGCTAGAGAAAAAAACTATTTTTAAAAACTGTAGCGTATCAATTTTTAAAATGTATACAAATGGTGCTAAATTTAAGCAAAGTTATAGTCTTCTAAGTTGGTTCCCCTTGATCTCTAGAAAATGTTAATAGTTAATTTTAGTTACGTATTCTGCACTTTTTCTAAAAGCACCCTTCAATAAAGCCTCTTAAAAATTAGAACATGTTTTCCCACTAAGTTAGTCCAAGAATGAAATTTTTTTATTGTTTATATAAAGTGCATCACAAGAATTAATTAGTTAAAATTAATTTTAGGAAATACACTTGTAATTATGGAATAATGTTTAGATTCTTTAAAAACATTTGAATTGTAGTTTTAGGGTCTCCTTCAAATATGGAATTATGCTCCTTATTCTGCTGTGACAAGCGACTTTTATGTAATCAATTGGTTTCAGCATAGAAAGCAGTAAATTTAGTTTCAGACATTTGACTCAGTTTAATATAATGAAGTCAAGGTACACCAGTAAGACCTAGATAAAGTTTTATAATAGGAAGCCATTAATTGAAGAGGGAGATTTCAAAGTAGAAGAATATTTTATTTGCGGAATTGGATACCATCATGAAAACAGTCAGGTACAAGCCCTGTTTAAAATTAGAAGTTCAACTTACAAATATAACAGCAAATGCATTAGTGTCTTATGTGATAATAAATAATGGTTATCCTGATGTTAAATAATTAGATACAGAATTATGCGATTTGCTTTCCTATGTTGGGATGCTCTCAGATACTCATAGCAGGGGCTAGCCATTCTGCATACATTTTCAGATGCTAGAAAGATTTCTGAGAGGCTTATGTGTGCAGAGTAATGTTTAACATAGGCATTCTCTGCAGTGATCTGTGATAACAAATAGCCTAAAGAATGGATAACTGAACTTGCCTGCCACTCCACCAAATCCCCCAATCTCACTCTCCCCTTATGCTTTATGGTTTTTCCTTACACCATAAGAGGAGATCTATTCACAGTTGTTGAAAGCTTAGCTTCTGGCTTTATGACTTGGGGCGAAATCTTTGACTACTGTAAACCCCAGTTTCCACATCTAAAAGATGAGTATATTACTAATACTTTAATAGGGTTAAATAGTACTTTATAGGATTGAGAGGATTAACCGAGATAGGGAATGTTCTCATTACCTTGTCTGGTGAACTATAATAACCCAATGAATACTGAGTATTTTAATTGTACCCTAAGGAGAAACAGGTAGCTTAAAGCATTGTTTAAATTTTCCTGTTTTATTCTTTTCTGTGTTCTACTTACCCTCTGGGAATAATAATTTAAATCATGCATTTGTGAAAAGTAAAATATAAAATCTTCAGATTACCTCAGACCATAATTTTTCATCAAGTAGTATTATGTCCAGAAGTGAGTAATCCACTGAATATACAGATTAAAGTTGAAGTATATAAGTATTCATTCATCAGGCATTGGAGTGTCCCTCCTATGAGTTCTCATAGAACCCTAACTATAGCACTTTTTTAAGACTTTCATTATGTGTTTTACTTTTCTGAGTTCCCCATTAATCTTTAAATTCCTTAAAGAAAGGCCCAAGGATATCTTGTTTAACAATGTATCTTTATCTTCTTCTGTCAATCCCACAGAAACTTACAATACTTATAATTCTAAAAAAATTATCATATAAATAATTTCTTTCAAGTCATACCATGATAATCTTCTTTATGAAGAAGAATTTATAACCAAGTAGTTGACTCTAATATCCTTAAATATGAAAATATTTTACATACATTTATATTTATCTTTGTATTGGAATTTATAGAGTGAAAAATGCTCAGATAAGCTGAAAAGTATTACTTATTTGAGTTTAGGATGCATTTTGTATCTAATATTTGAATATGAATATGCCTGATATTTTGGAAAGTGGCAACACTTTGTATAAATAATGAAGGCGTATACAAAAGGCTCCATGTAGGAGGAAAATTATTGAGTATGTAGTTTAATTTAATAGTTTACTAAGGGTGTACACATGTATATAAAGTTCAAGTCTATGATATTTAATAGGCATTGCAGCAAATTTGAATGAAACATTGGTAGTTCTACACTGTGTGATTAAATGTTATGCTATTAAAATTATATTGTAATTCTCATTGCTTCTAATGATTTTTGGTATTAAGACCCATGTAGCTTTTGTGTCCTTATAAAAAGTTATGAAGTTAACTTAACATATAGATTAAAATTAAATGGATGGAGAAAAATATACCATGCTAACATTAAGAAGAAAGTAGAAGTACTTATATTAATTTCAGACACACCAGACTTGAAGGTAAGGAAATTTTTCGAGGGTTAAGAAAGGCATCATTACATAATAATAAAGGAGTCAGTTCTCCAAGGAGACATAATCCTTAATGTGTATACACCTACAGAGCATCAAACCACATAAGGCAAAAACTGATAGAAATGCAGAGAAATAGATGAAACCACTATTATAGTTGGAAACTTCAACACCCCTCTCTCAGAAATGGACAGTTCCAGCAGTCAGAAAATCAGTAAAGACATAGTTGAACTCAATGACACTATCAATCAACTGGATATAATTGACATCTACAGCCTACTTCATCTGATAAAAGCAGAATATACATTCTTCTCAAGCTCACAAGGAACATTTACCAAAATAAACCACATTCTGGGGTGTAACAGAAACTAACAAATTTAAAAGAATAGAAATAATATAATGTCCGTTCTCATAATGGAATTTAATTAAAAATCAGTAACAGGTAATAGAAAAATCTCCAATTATGTGGATATTAAACTTTTCTAAATAACACATGGGTCAAAGAAGAAATCTCAAGAGAAATTAAAATATATTTTGGAGTAAATAAAAATGAAAACAAAACTTCGAAATGTGTAGAACGTAGCATAAGCAGTGCTTAGATGGAAACTTATAATATTGAATGCACATATTAGAAAAGAAAGATCTACAGTCAATAAATTAAGTTTCCACCTTGGGAAACTAGTAAAAGGAGAGCAAATGAAATGCCATGTAAGGGGAGGAAAAGAAATAATAAGAATTAGAGCAGAAATCAGTGAATTTGAAAACAGAAAATCAATAGAGAAATCAATAAAACTACAGCCTGGCTCTTTGAAAAGATTGATAAAATTGTTATGCCTCTAGCCATGCAAACTAAGAAAAAAAGAGAAGACGCAAATTAGCAACATCAGAAATTAAAGAGGGGACATCACTACAGATCTCACTGAAATTAAAAGGATAACAAAGGAATGCTATGAACAATTCTATGTCCACAAATTAGACGACCTAGACAAAGTGGATCAACTCCTTGAAAGAAGCAATCTGTCAAAACGCACACAGGAAGAAATAGATGATCTGAATAGGCCTATACCGAGTAAAGAAATTGAATCAATAATTAATATCCTTCCAAAACAGAAAGCACCAGGTACAGATGGGTTCACTGGTGAATTCTACTTAACTTTTAAGGAAGAAATTATACCATTTCTCTGCAATCTCTTTTAAGAGGACAGAAGAGGAAGGAATATTTCCTAACTCATTCCACACAGCCAGCATTATCCTAATACTAAAACCATACAAAAATATTACAAGAAAACTACAGAACAATATCTCTCATGAACATTGAGGCAAAAATCCTCAACAAAATATTAGCAAATCAAATACAAAAAGATATAAAAAGAGGGAGGCAGAGTCAAGATGGCTGCACGGAAGGATGCAGAGTTCCTGTCTCCCCACAGGTAGGGCACCTGCCGGTTGCTGTTGGGAGACCTCAGCACCCAAGGAGATGGGAGGAACCCCCGAGAGACTGGGTAGGACATGGGGGGAAGTGAGGAGGTAGGAGAAGTGGAGGCTGTACAGGACTGGTGCCCCGAGGGGTGGCTGAGAGAGGGGAGGGGTTCCCATGTCTGGAGGGACCCTGGGAGGGCTCAGAGGATAAGGGGGGAGTGTGCCTAGTATGTCCCCTGCCCAATCAGCTCTGGGAAGCCTGCTGGGCTCCTGGGCCAGGTCCTCCACCCTCTGAAGGCCCCCTCCAGCCTGCCTGGGTCCTCGGGGCCTAGGAGGGAGATGGGGGGTGGGGGAGCAGAGGAGAGGCGGATGGAGAGGGGCCCTCCAGGATCGGAGGATCAGGGGAGGTGCAGAGGGTGTTTCCCCTGACACTCGGGCCCAGGGAGCCTGGGTCCCAGACCTGGACCTGGTCCTTCACCCTCCAAGGCCAGAGGCACTCCTTGGCCCTTCCTGCACGTTGAGACTAAGCCCCACACCCCCGAACCTCCAGGGCCTTTTGTGGCCCTGTGGGTCCTAAGCATAGGCCCCGCCCACTGCCTAAACCCCACCCCTGCCTAAGCCCCACCCCCCCACAGCCAAGGCCTTATTCAGCTTTTTTTTCTTTTTCCCTCTTTTTTTCCTATTGTGATTCTGTTTTACCTTCTGGTTGTTTAATCTATATTTTTATTTTTTCTAACATATCTGTTAGTTTTCTAATTTTATTTTTTTCCCTTTGTTATTGTTTTGCTCCTTTTTTTTTTTTTTTTTTTTTTTGCTGCCCTGTATGATTTGCAGGATCTTGGTTCACAAGCAAGGGGTCGGGCCTGAGCTCCTCTGGTCGAGCTCCGAGTCAGGACCACTGGACTAGCAGAGGACCTCAGACCCCAGGGAATATTCATTGGAGTGAGGTCTCCTGGAGGTCCTCATCTTGGCACCAAGACTGAGCTCTACCCAACAGCCTATGAACTCCAATGCTGGAAGCCTCAGGCCAAACAACCAGTAAGACAGGAACACAAACTGACCCATCAAAAAAAAAAAAAAAGAGACCACAAAAAAAAGGGTCACAGATGAAGGAACAAGGTAAAAACCTATAAGACCAAATAAATGAAGAGGAAATAAGCAACCTACCTGAGAAAGAATTTAGAGTAATGACAGTAAAGATGATCCAGGATCTCGGAAACAGAATGTAGGCACAGCTTGAGAAAGTATAAAAGTTTTAAAAAGTTCTAGAAGAACTAAAGAACAAACAAACAGAGATGAACAACACAATAGCTGAAATGAAAAATACACTAGAAGGAATCAACAACAAAACACCTGAGGCAGAAGAACGAATAAGTGAACTGGAAGACAGAATGGTGGAAATAACTGCTGAGGAGCAGAAAAAGAAAAAAGAATGAAAAAAATTGAAGACAATCTCAGAGACCGCTGGGACAACAGTAAACGTACCAACATTATACAGGTCGCATCCCAGAAGAAGAAGAGGAAAAGAAAGGGTCTGAGAAAATTTTCTAAGAGATTATAGTAGAAAACTTCCATAATATGGGAAAGCAAATAGTCACCCAAGTCCAGGAAGCACAGAGAGTCCCATACAGGATAAATACTAGGAGGAACATACCAAGACACATAATCAAACTAACAAACATTAAATTCAAAGAAAAAATATTAAAAGTAGCAAGGGAAAAGCAAAAAATAACATACAATGGAATCCCTGTAAGTTTATCAGCTGATTTTTCAGCAGAAACTCTGCAGGCCAGAAGAGAGTGGCAGGATATACTTAAAGTGATGAAAAAGAAACACCTACAACCAAGATTACTCTACTCAGCAAGGATCTCTTTCAGATTCGATGGAGAAATCAAAAGCTTTACAGACAAGCAAAAGCTAAGAGAATGGAGCACCACCAAACCAGCTTTACAACAAATGCTAAAGGAACTTCTCTAGGTGAGAAACACAAGAGAAGAAAAAGACCCACAAAAACAAAGCCAAAACAATTAAGAAAATGGTAATAGGAACATACATATCAATAATAACCTTGAATGTAAATGGATTAAATGCTCCAACCAAAAGACACAGACTGGCTGAATGGATACATGAACAAGACCTGTATATATGCTGTCTACAAGAGACCCACTTCAGACCGAGGGACACATAGAGACTGAAAGTGAGGGGATGGAAAAACATATTCTATGCAAATGGAAATAATAAGAAGGCTGGAGTAGCAATTGTCATATCAGACAAAACAGATATTAAAATAAAGACTATTACAAGAGACAAAGAAGGACACTACATTATGATCAAAGGATCAATCCAAGAAGAAGATATAACAATTGTAAATATTTATGCACCCAACATAGGAGCACCTCAATACATAAGGCAAATGCTAACAACCATGAAAGGGGAAATTGACAGTAACACAATAATAGTAGGGGACTTTAACACCCCACTTACACCAAAGGACAGATCATCCAAACAGAAAATAAATAAGGAAACACAAGCTTTAAATGACACAATAGATCAGATAGATTTAATTGATGTTTATAGAACATTCCACTCAAAAGTGGCAGAATACACTTTCTTCTCAAGTGCACATGAAACATTCTCCATGATAGATCACATCTTGGGCCAAAAATCAAGCATCAGAAAATTTAAGAAAATTAAAATCGTATCAAGCATCTTTTCTGACCACAACACTATGAGATTAGAAATCGATTACAGGAAGAAAACTGTAAAAAATACAAATATGTGGAGGCTGAACAGTGAACTACTAAATACCCAAGAGATCACTAAAGAAGTCAAAGAAGAAATTAAAAAATACATGGAAACAAATGGCAATGAAAACACAATGACCCAAAACCTATGGGACGCAGCAAAAGCAGTTCTAAGAGGGAAGTTTATAGCAATTCAATCCTACCTCAAGAAACAAGAAAAATCTCAAATAAACAATCTATCCTTACACCTAAAGCAACTAGAGAAAGAAGAACAAAGAAAACACAAAGTCAGTAGAAGGAAAGAAATCATAAAGATCAGAGCAGAAATAATGAAATAGAAACGAAGAAAACAATAGCAAAGATCAATAAAACTAAAAGTTGGTTCTTTGAGAAGAAAAACAAAATTGATTGATAAACCTTTAGCCAGATTCATCAAGAAAAAAAAGGAGAGGACTCAATCAATAAAATTAGAAATGAAAAAGGAGAAATCACAACTGACATAGCAGAAATAGAAAGGATTTTAAGAGACTATTACAGACAACTATATGCCAATAAAATGGATAACTGGGAAGAAATGGACAAATTCTTGGAAAAGTACAATTTTCCAAGACTAAACCAGGAAGAATTAGAAAATATAAACTGACCTATCATA